TGAATTTTCAGCAGCCATTACTCCAGTCTTCAGTGTCACATGTTTCTTCTGAAATCATTTTGCTTCATATTTTTATTAAAAGCATTATGCATTTTTTCAGGATTCTTTGATGAACAGAAAGTTCAAAAGAGTAGCATTTATTTGAAATAGAAACCTTTTGAAATATTATGAATGTCTATTCTCTTACTGTCACTTTTGCTCAATTTAATGCATCCTTGCTGAATTTAAGTATTAATTTCTTTAAAAACAAACAAACAAATCTTACTGACTCCAAACTTTTGAAAGGTAGTGTACGTTTTTGTTAATACTGCCCAAGAAAGGACAATGTGAAATGTCTGCAGAAGTGAAGCGACGAGGGTTTGGATTCAGCAGGTTGTCTAAGCTCTTTCTCTCAGCTCTGCATGTGTGAGACGCAGCACTCGGAGTAAGACTCTCAAGACTTCCAGTAAGAGCTTTATCACACAGGCTTAGAAGAAAACTCTCCATAAAGAGATTGAAATAAATCTGTGACACAGCGTGTCTAGGCACACCATCCTCATCTGCACCGAGGCTGTGTGGCTGCTGCAGGTGTGCTGTTCTGCAATGTGGTATTTTTGGATAGGAGAAAAAAGTTGGACAGAGGACTGTGGAAGGGGAAGATTACAATAAAACTCCAAGTAGCAGAAAATAGTCAACTGAAATAGTAAGTCCTTCTCAAGAGGTCCTATTTTGGAAAGATAGGTGTCAGTCTTCCTGATCTCTACAAACACAACTTGAAAAAGAGGCTTGTGTGTAATTTCAAGTTCACAAAGTTTAGCATTTTAAAAGTTAATGCAGAATAGTAATAACCCCTAAGAAAATAAATAGGGTTTCTTCAGCTTCATTGCTTAGAGCTCAGAACATAAACATTTCCAAGATGTTTCGAGACTCTTTTCACAAAACTAAAGTTTCTGAAGTTTGATGCTTTATTCTTTTAATGAAAGGGACGAAACAGAGAGAGAGAAAGGCAATATACAGAACTGAGAATACGAGTTATGCTTTGCAAAACCGATTGGGAATAAAGACTAAAGTTATTACAAAGTCATACACATGATTCATCAGGTTGACCTCTCACCCACCTTCTCTCTGATCTCCAGTGCCCTTTTACACAGAGGCTCTGCTTCCTTGTACTTCCCTCGTTTGCCATAAAGAACGGCCAGGTTGTTCAATGTGGCAGCCACCTGCATACGCAGGAAAACATGAATATATATATTTATAGCCATAGATATATTTCAGTCATACAGCTACAAAAGTCAAATACAACAATCAAAAGAACAAATCAACAATTGTGAATTGGTGCAATAATTTATATACAAGCAGTCATTTCATCTAACTGAAAATGATTACTTGCTGGAAATCTGATCAAGGTGAAATGTCCCCATTGTGGGCTGCCTAGCACACTAGCATACACACAAACACCCTGTGCTGTGTTACAGATGTGTTCTCATCAAACTTTGATTTAGATACCTCAGTGCATGTGAGACACATACCTGTGTGACAGACGGCAAGAGTGAGAAAAAGGAAAAGAGATACAGTAGGGCTGGGCGATATATAGCAAATATTTTGTCTTTTGATATTACATATTTATATTATAGTCATAATACTATATTTATGTATTAATTCTGATATTTATTACGGTGTTATCAAATAGCAATTTCAGACAAATACTAGATTCAGAATGTTTCATGTAAGCACTAAAAAAAGTCAAAAGAAAGTAAATAATCCAGGCATGTTTCTCCCCAGTTTTTCATCAAATGCACACAATGAAAAATTATATTTAAACATTTTAATTTACACTCACCAGTATAACAGTACACAGTAATAATACATCAAAATATACATCAAAATATTATATTCAAAGACTTTGTGTATATATATATATATAT